AAATATACGTCCAAGAAGAATTGAGGAATTGGATAAATAAATGTAGATTTATGGGCATCGAAGTGGGACAAGAAACTCTGTATACATTGTTGTTTGCAGATGATCAGGCGGTGGTTGCAACCGATTAGGAAGGTATAAATTATATGAATCGAAAATTATTTGAGGAATATGCCAAATGGGGGCTTACAGTAAACATAAGAAAAACGGACTATTTAAAAATTGAAGTAAATACCACAGATCTAAGGCTTGAAAACGCAGTCATAAAAGGTTGCAACCAGTATAAATATCTAGAAAGCATCATATCAGCAGATGGCAGAGTTAAGATAGATGTACAAAAACGAATAACCCAAGGGAAAAATGCATCCAAATACTGAATTTATTACTGTGGTCTAATAAAATAAAGATGCATACCAAACTTCGTGTATACACAGCAATTGTAAAATCGATTACCACATATGGTGAGGCACGTTGGACGATGACAAAGAATGAACGAGATAAAGTAGACGTTGTGGAAATGGATTATCTTAGAAGGTCATGTCGAGTATCGAGAATGAAAAGAATCAGGAATGAGGAAATACGAAACCGTACAGGAATTAAAGAGACTCTTTCAGAGAGAATACAAGGAAGGCAATTACAATGGTATGGTCACGTGATGAGAATGGAGGAGGAGCGGTGGCCAAAGAAAGCCTTAATGTATGTTCCGCCAGAAAAAAGGAAAAGGGGAAGACCACCAAATTCCTGGAGAAGAGCCAAATTCCTGGAGAAGAGAAATTACAAAAACAATGCAATCTAGAGGCTTAGAAGAGGAAGATTGGAGAGATAGGAAAAGATGAAGGCTGAAATGCGGGAAGCGGCAATCGCCGTAGGACCCCCGTTATATAATGATGACCAGCAAACACAAAACGAAATATGGCGACAAATTCGAATAGCAAAAGAAAATTACTTAACAGAAAAATGTGATAAAATATAAATGCTACAAAATAAACATGACAGCTTTAATTTACACAGGAAAATTATAAAATTAACTAGAAGACCAGAATACAAACAACTATACTAGTCGATAAAAAGGGAGATACATTAACGGATACAGAAAACAAATTGATGATATGGGTAAACTATATAGAACAGCTGTTTAACTACAAACGAGACAAAATAGATAACGAATATTTCGTTGAAGAGACTGGACCAGAAATAACAGAAAGTGAAATAAAACACACAATTAAAAAAAATGAAAACTGGGAAAGCAGTAGGACCAGACGAAATACGGACATAAATATTGCAACTTTTCGTCAACTGCAATGTATGTACATGTTATTGTCGAACTATTTAATATCGTATACAGAACAGGTATATTACCCAAAGAATAGCTTCTTTCAACATTCCAGACTATACCGAAAAAGAAAAACGCCAGATAATGTTGGGATTACCGTACCATCAGTCTAACGTGTCACATACTAAAAGTATTCCTAAACATTATTCATCGTAAAATATATAAAAAGTTAGAACAAGACATTAAACAAACTCATTTCGGATTTAGAAATGCTCAAGGAACCAGAGAAGCAATATATGCAATAAATGTGCTAATGAAGAAATGTCTAGAACTAATCCAATATATTTATGTCTTCTTCTTAGATTATAACAAGGCATTCAATACAGTGAAACATAATCTGTTAATAAAACTACTGAGAATAAAGAACATTGACACACGAGATGTAAGAATAATAAATAATCTGTATTGCGAACAAGAAGCTGTTATAAGAATAAATAATTTAAAAACTAATAAAATAAAAATCAAAAGAGGTATTAGACAGGGCTGTGTCTTGTCGCCATCACTGTTTAATGCATACTTGGAGGAAATATTCAAAAAAGCATTAGAAGATGAAGTAGCAGGCATAAAAATAAATGGCCTACCTATACGTGAAATTAGATATGCTGATGATACAATACTAAGAGCAGAAAATATTACAGATCTACAAAGAATTTTCGATAAGGTTTTTTGCAGCGAGTGAAGAATTTGGTCTGTCACTAAACGTAAAGAAAACAAAATTCATGGTTATATCAAATAAAAATATTGGATACATCAGTCTACGCGTAAATAATAAGACTCCCTAGACAACCAGAATAACCAATGAAGAAGTAGTAAGAAGAATAGAGAACAGCAGGGAGGATTCCATCAAAGTAAGAAAACTACAATATCTGGGGCATATAACACGTGGTGGCAGATATGAATTTCTATAACTAATAATGCAGGGAAAGATTGAAGGAAAGCGCAGCATAGATAGAAGAAGAATGAACTGAACTCTTTCGGGCTGTACTGTCAAAACTTAGAATAACAGTGATGAATGCCAACCTTCGTAGCGGAGATGGCACGTAAAGAAGAATATGGTACCAACTAATATACCTTTAAACAAAATAATTTTTCTACATCTTTTTCGAGAAATCTTGTAAGCTATACTACCAGAATTGAAACTGTTCAGGAATTAAAAAAAAAAAAACGAAAAAACGAAAAGTACAGCTAAAGCCAAGAGTACGAAAGCTGAAAATTTTCGAAAGGAAAGTCCTAAGGAAGATATCTAAACCTATTAAAAAAAACGAAGTATGGAGATTCCGGTACAACCATGAACTCTACCAACTGCTTATAGAGGCACCGATCTCAAAATTCCTTAAACTACAAATATTTCGATGGGCTTTTCATGTAGTTAGAACGGAGACCGAAAGATTGCCAAAAAGAAAACTAGATAGTAAAATGAGGGGAGCAAGATCAAAAGGAAAACCACGGAAAAGATGGGAGTCTAAAGTGGCAGTAGTGGCAGCAGACGTGAGAAAATGGAGAAGATTGACACGGGACCGGCAAAGTTGGAGACACAGTTTGGGAAAGACCAAGGCTCGATTTTCACTGTAACGCCATTGGAAAGAGGTATTTATTATACTCTAAAGAGCTACTCTAAAGTGCACGAATGCACAATATGGACTTAGACTAAATATCACAAAAACCAAATGGATTTTACTAAGCAAAACCCAACAACCACCACAGCAACTGATATTAGACAATGAGAGAATTGAACACGTGGATTCGTATATCTACTTGGGAACAAGAGTTAACTCAAATTGGGATCAAGCGAAGGAAATACGTATAAAAGTAGAAAAGGCAAGAGCATCGTTCACTAGCATGAAGCAAATTTTCACCTCTAAAAGCCTCACCCTACCTCTCAAAATTCGACTGTTGAAATGTTATGTATTCCCGGTTTTGTTATATGGAATGGAGGCGTGAACAATAACCGCAAAATTGATGAAAAAAGTAGAGGCCTTCGAAATGTGGGCTTATCGACGTATATTACGTATATCCTGGACTGAGCACGTGACCAACGAAGAGGTACTACGCCGGATAGGTAAAGAGAGAGAGGTAGGAATAAGTATAAAGAAATGAAAGTTGGAATACTTGGGTCACGTTATGAGAAATAATAAATATAGAGTACTACAGCTGATCGTTCAAGGGAAAATAGATAGCAGAAGGGGTCCAGGGAGAAGACACTCGTGGCTCCAAAACTTGCGGCAATGGTTTGGATTGTCATCTGCTGAACTATTCAGATCTGCCGTAAACAAAGTCAGAATAGCAATGTTGATTGCCAAAGTTCGTAACGGACAGGGCACATGAAGAAGAAGAAAAGAGCTTGATAGCAAAAACAGTAAAAAGAGACAGTGTCCAGATTTGTAAATAAAGCAATACCAAGATTTTACTTGCCAGACCCAGTTCCTGTGACAAAGTATTACTCAAACTTTTTGACGAAGCATTAGGTCAAAACAACCTAAAACTCAGAAGCTTTTTACCCAATTTTAATGTTTTTTTTTAATTTATTGGGTTAAATTTATTTACCGAAACTATAAGGCAACAATTTTCTTTTAAATAAAAAAAGTTTAATTTGTTATCTGTATAACATTAATATTTTTGTTATTTTATTTCATCCATGATTTCGTTTTCGTTAAAAAAAAATATTGTTTTTAAAAAAGGTTATGCTACCTTTAAACATATTTCAGGCTTCAATTAAAACTTTATGTTTTTAAGCGCTTATTTTTTATTTTAATTTTTTTTAATACTTTTTTATCCGTTTTCTAGTTATATTATTGTAGAGACTCGCGACTATAAGAGTATATGCCGAAATTAAATTGCAAGTAACATAAAGGTTAAACTGATTTTGGTAGGTTATATGATTTAAAAAATAATTTTGTAGAAAATCTGCAAGTCATAAAAACAGTTTTTTAACTTATCAACAATGAATTATGCATGTTTTCCCCTCAAAGAAAAAAATAAAGTCATTCCTCTCATTCATCACAAAATGTTTACAGTCACTCTAGAACGTAACGGTAAACAAAATATTTATCGAAAAAAATCCCGCTTCTTATGGGAATGAAAATCAAACTTATTTATTAAAGAAATACAGACCAAAAAATTGGTAAACACTTGTTTTAATTAATTGGCAAATAGCGGTTAAATAGGTGTACGGTTTGTTGTTGTTGTTATTATCGTTGCTATTGGAATTTATTATTTATCATATTTGTTGATTTAGATACTTAAAATATCATTTACTATACGGTTAATCTCAATCTAACTGTTAGACAGGTTCTAGTAATTAGGTGGCTTATAAGTAATTAGCAAGGTTAAGTACACACTTTCTAGTAGCAACAAGATACATACAATTTCCTACCTGGCGAAACTGATCTACTACCGTCATTATGTTTTGACTTTCTAGTAGATTGATTTAATTATTCAAAATATAAAATAAATGTATGAAAAAATACTTATGTTTGCTTACTTTCTCAGATGTGATTTACTTTTTAACTTGGTTTTAGTTTACAAATTTTATTAAAACTTTGATGTTTATAGTAGATATTTTGACTTCTATATAACTATATTGATAGTACTTCAAAAGCTCGGATGATCTGGGTAGGCATAGAATAACGAATTGTCCCAGTGTTGTATCATCTACATTATATTTACTTACCGTTTAACTCTTGAAGAGAGAGTTCCAAGCCATGATAGTCTCCAGGAAGAACTTTCACTGAAATATGGTTAGAAAGAGTTTCTGTACCCTCGTGGACGAATATCTAAAACAATTATTTGTGTTGTTAATAACAAGTAATTTGAAATCACATACTGATAGTAATCTAGTATGTAGGTCACTTCTTGCCGTAGTTTTATTTGGACAAATTCATAATCCTTGATTCTTCTTCTTAACGTGACCTATCAAGTCCCTTGACGTTGGCGATTAACATGGCGAAACTGTCTTTGTCTCGAGCTATTCTAAATAGTTGCTCAGCTTTCTTTATTCCTGTCCACTCCCTGATATTCTTCAACCAAGAGGTCTGCTTTCTACCAATTCCTCTGCGTGCTTCGATTTTGCCCATCATAATAAGTTGAAGAATATTATATAGGTCTCCCCCTACTACATGTCCAAAATAGGCCATTTTTCTACATTTGATGTTATCAAGCAGCTCGCGAGCAGCATTTGATCTTTCAAGGACTGCCACATTTGTCAGCATAGGAGTAATCCTTGATTATTATTGTTTTATAAGTATGGTGTATATCAAAGTTTTTATTTTATAAGATTGTAATAATAGACAGGCAAATGGCTTAATATTATGTTAAAAGCTTGTATCCACTATATTCGCGCTCCTGCAACGGCTCCAATGGATACGACATGTGCGCTTCTACATGAAACACGCACTCTCCTCGTGCATTCCACAGTTTTTAACGAACCTTTGAGTGAACATGTCTTGGCCATTAGATGATAGTGCAGCCTATATTTTATTTCATTATCTTCTCGAATACTATAGAACCCCTTCTCGCTTTTGCTCGCCTGCTAGCAAGTTTTTATAATGTAAAAATGGATGATTTTATAATGTAATATATTAATTACTATATAACTGAGAATAAGCCACAATTAAAGATTAAAGTACGTTTATTGACGTTTTAATTTCCACTTCGGAAATCGTTCTTAAAATACAAAGATTAGTAAATTAAACAAATTTGGTTTTTTTGTTAAACAAAATGTTTTCTTGATCTCTTTTGATGTTTTTGAGAGAAATATCAATCTATTATTTTGTTTATTTTAATTTTCTTCGTGAGTTTCAGGGTAAATACCATTGGTGCCCATTTTGTTTTGTAGTTTAGCTATATTCAGTGTTTCTTGTTTTACTTTTGTCAAACTGTTATGTAATTAAAATCCGTAAACTAATTTTCAAAACCAAATTCAGATTTTTGCTTTAATCTGAAGCGACCATGAATTGCCGTTCTGAAGAAGCCTCTTAGGTATAAGCGGCTACATAGAGGCACTATACGTGAAATCAAATCTCAACTGTCTTTTCCTTGTTATGTAATTATTATCTATCGTATCTCTCTTTTCAATCCTGACCCCCCAGGGGGAGTGTAGTGGTCGACGTGATGTCGTGTATTGTCCGTCTCCAGAGATCTCTGTCTCTGTATCGTATCTATCTGTCTTTAATATGTACTTTTCTATCATCTATATCCATACCCACCACCAATGAAGCTCCCAAACTGAGCAACGTGGTCGTCTTTAAGTCTTGGTGAACGATCAGCTTTTTAATTCATCTAATTTTGTTAGCTTTTTTCTGACAAGCACTGATAAGTAAACTGCAAGTTTTCGAGATATCGCATAAGAAAGGAATCCTGAGAATATCTTTCGCTGTCAGAGTTTGTGAAGACTTTCAAAAGAAACTGAACTGACTAATGAAATACTGATACAAAAACGCTAAAAATATCTTTGACAAGTGATGAGAGCAACCAAATAACAACTTTCACAGAATATCATACGGGTAAAATATTAGAAAAACGTAGTGTTCGACAGGCGACATAGCTGCGCAACCTCAGAGAGTGGTTTAATTGCTCGTGTAACTAGTTTTTTAGATCAGCAATGAACGAGTGAACAGATTTTAAATAATCATGGTAATCTCTTGAAATAATACGTCACATTAAGAGGAAGACATACAGTGTGAAAATCACTTAAGGAATAAAATTGTTTGTGTCCTTATTATAGAAAATAATATAAAACCCTGGGACATACAATGATTCACGCAAGTCTGGCATAGTAAACATCCCGTATATTTTTATGTTTTTAAAAGATTCTTAGCAACCTGATTTCAACCAACTATATCATATAGGTGAAATTTTGAAATTAATAATTTATCACGTGTTATAGTATTATTTTAAATTAGCTAAATACAGACAATACATTTCTACTCGAAGTGTTAGTATAATGGGAAAAACTTTCTGTTTAGTAACCGCGTTAACATATTTTGTCATGAATAGGTAAAAACTGTCTAGATAGTCTACTAATTAAACTAAGTCGATAAATAATGCGGATTGTTATCAATCAGTTGATGGTGTGTTAACATTTTATAATAAAATATTAAATTCCCAATTAAAAGCTAATTTCTTGCAGAAATAAAAATGAAATATTTAACAGAGACCCATCGAAATGACATTTTAATGATGAACGGTTATGGGGAGAATTGTAGAAGTTGAAGTAGCAAACTTATTTAATCAGAAGTATCTTTAGTTGACCAATATTTTACAAGATACTGTGTCTAAAATTTGTGTACAATTCAGAGAACTTGGATATGTCATACCATTAAAAAGAAAACCGAACTTCAGTGAAGATGAGGTGAAAGTGGATATTTTGTTAACTGTCGCAGAGAATCCAACGTCAAGTTCAGGTCAAATTGCACGTCAAAATAATGTGAGTTACACAACTATCCTAAGGTGTCCCCATAAAAAAAGCTTCATCCATATAAATTGACTTTTGTGCAGGATCCAACAGAAGACGATCCAGATCGTAGAATGAATTTCTGTGAAAGAATAATGGATAAAATTGACACAAATGAAATAGTTCTTGGTACAATTCTTTTTTCTGATGAATTAACATTTATATTGAACGGAGAAGTAAACTGACAAAACTGTAAATATTGGTCAGCGGAAAATCCTCATTGGATACGTAAGGCACACTCAGTATCCTCAAAAGTTGAATGTTTGGGCAGATATTACAGGAGATCGTATTATTGCTCCTATATTTGTAGGTGGTAATTTGATAGCGGAAAAATATTCAAGCATGTTAAGATACAATGTTCTTCCTCAGTTGGCTAACTTATATCTCAATCTAATAAATCCAACCCTACCGCATGAAACTGTCTAATTCCAGCAGGACGGTGCAACACCCCATTATGCTTTAATGGTGAGAAATTACTTGAAAGAAATCTTCTTCGATATAGATTGGACGAAGGGGTACTATTCAGTGGCCTGCTAGGTCGCCAGATCTTACGCCTTTGGATTTTTTTCTGTAGGGATATCTCAAGAACAAAGTATATGCAACACAGCCAACTAACATTGAAGACCTCAAAGAAAGGATAACTACAGAAATACGGAATATTTCACCTCAAACTTTAAACAAAGTTCGGGACAAGTCTTACAAGAGATGTTATTGCCAACAACAAGGCGGTGAACATTTTGAGCATTTATTTTAATGTAATCCAATCAATTACCTCGGGTATTCTATGAATTAATTGTCCTTAAGGAAATTATACTTAATTTTAAAATTTCACCGTGTGTTATTCATAACACAGCTTACACGATATAGTTCGTTGAGATCAGGTTGTTAAGGAGGTTTTAACAACTTAAAAATGTACAAGGTGTTTCAAAAAATATTTCAGATTGTTTTGTTAATTGGGGTTACCGGCGCCTGACGATGCGACGGAATGGTAAAAATGAAGACTGTGGACATTGAGGATAAAAATAATGTAATAATTATCAAAATCCTAGACAGTAAAACACGACAAATTAGATCTTTTACGATAATTGGTCAAAACTACATTAAACTGTATAAAAAGTATGCATCACTGCTGCCTGAAAATTTCACAGAAAACCGATCTTTTTTCAAGTACCAAAATGAAAAGTGTTACCGAAGCGTCATGGGAATACATTTGATCAGCTCAGTAGCCCAAAAAGTAGCTAGTTATTCAAATTTAAACGATGCAATCGCATACATGGGTTACTCTTTACGACGAACTTCAGCAACACTTTTAATTGATGGAGGCGGAAATCTAGAATGCCTCAAACGACATGGGGGTTGGAAATCAAGCAGGGTTGCCGAAGGATATATAGAGGATTCAATAAGAAACAAGAACGGTAATGCTCAAAAAATTTTAAACCCTCATGATTCGCCAACATCGGGAATAATTACTGAAAGTTGTTCTCAACCATCAGTATCATCAACAATTACCAATCCGTATCCAGAGTCGGTAACATTTTTGCACGGTTTCAATTTTAAAAATGCCTTATTAACTAATTGTACTTTTAATATTACTATAAATAAAAATGATGTTTAATTGTTGGTAATGACATTTGTATTGTTGCTTTATGACATGTTTCATATTGTTGCCATAACAACATTTTTCCCTCCGCCGCGCCGTAAAGAAATGGGAAAAAAACTGCTGCCGACAGAGACATCAAACTTTGACAGGATCAAGTTAGATAAGTAATGTCATCATTATTTGACGTTTGAAGAAAAAATATATTTATAAGAATATTACTTACCCGGCTGGCCAATTTGGGCTTGATAAGTTGTTTGAGTGCATTGATTGTATTAACAGCAAATGTAGGACAGTTGACCATGTGAATCTTCTTCAGCTTGTTGGAATAAACTTTCTATAACACAAAAATTTTAATTATTAAACCTCTCTCAATATAACTTTCTAATATTAATCGCTACTCCTAATCTTTCTTCAAGTTCTATATTTAAAAGAACACAAAACAAACGTTGCCAAAACACCAACCGAAATTAAAAAATTTCAATCTGCCCCTTCAAAGGAAAAGTTCGATTACAAATACTTTTGGAGAGTGAACAAAATGTTTAATAAAGGGATGAGGCTTTAATCAAAGTTGAATCAAAGAATAAGCTGCAAAGTTTATAAAGAGTATACAGCTCTGATAAAAGTTTGTTATCGACGTGTTATTTTAAAACGGCCCACAGAAAAAAAGTTAAAAAAAGGTAAGTGGGTTAAAGATTAGGAAATTGGAAAGTTTATTTTTTATTTTTTGGATAAAATGTCACAAAATATAAAATGGGTATTAACCAAAGTATCCAGGTAAATTAAGAGGATATATTAATTAATTGGGAAATGTCAGTTGACGTACAATACTATCAATTTATTGATGTATACATGAGATCTCTGACGTCGTTACGGACACTGTGACGTTATTACAATGTAAAAATATAATGAATCATGTCGGTAAAGGTTAAGTCAAACAAAAGGCTTTTTATTCGAAATTCAATAGTGTACCACATTGATTTTCAAATCAATGGCGCATTCATTATCTTAAAATTAACCTGAAACTTGCATATTTTTATAGTTTTTACAAATTCACACGAAAAATAAGTTTTCTTCCTTTTCTTCTGCTTTTTCCTCTTTATAAGCAATTCTGTTTGTTTAATGGCGGATTAATATCGATGTAGAAGCTTGTAAGCACTTATTACCGCTAAGAATCCGTGCTTGTATTTCTTCACTGATGTTGTTGTTGTCATTTATTATTGAGCCTAGGTAGGGAAAGGTGGAGGCATATTTATAGGTATGGTTGTCTACTTTCAGATTCTTATGTTGATTCGTTTTTGTGAACTCCATATATTTTGCTTAGCTTTCATTTATATGTAGACCAAACGTAGCAGCTTCTCGTTTCAATTCTATAACTTTTTTGCTTAATACCATTTTGTTGCGGCTTATTATGGCAACATCATCCGCATATGCACATATTTGCATTGATCTTGCATTAATAAAGCCGCTTATATCCAGTTTTCTAACAACAGCTTCTAAAGTTAGATTAAAAAGTGTTGTTGATAAGGCATCAACTTGTCTAACTCCATTTTCAATATCAAAGGCCTGCGTCATATCTCCATGTATTGTCACCATAGCTTTGGAACCCTCCAGAGTCATTCGTATAAGTTTAACCAACTTATTGGGTATCCCTAACATAGATAGCTGCTTTAACATCTTTTGTCGATCTTCTCCATCAAACGCCTGTTTGAAATCGATATACAAATTGTATATAGGAATGTTATATTTAATGCATTCTTCATGTATACCTCTTAACATATGTATTTGGTTTATAGTTGACCTCTTTGGTCTGAAGCCACATTGGAATTCACCAATCATCGCCTCCGAAAACGATTCCAGACGGCTGTATATAATTCCTGATAATATCTTGTAGACGACATTTAAAACTGTTATGTCCCTATAATTTTCGCGTTTATCTTCCCCTTTGTACATAGGAAGTGTGATTCCTTCTTTCCAATCTTCTGGGATGACTTCTAATGTCCATATGTTTATGGATACGCCTCCATAGCGCATGTCCACCATTCTTTATCAGTTCTGCAGTTATTCCATCTGTGCCAGGTGTCTTGTTATTTTTTAGATGTTTTATGGCGTTTATCGATTCTTCCAATGTTGGTTGCTCAATTAGTTGTTCTGCTGTGTGGTGAATTATTTCTTCGTCTTTGTTTTGTTCTTTTTCTGGGTTTAACAGCTCTTGAAAATGCTCTTTCTACCTTTTCCTATTGTAAGATACCTATTCCATAAGATACCTATTGTAAAACAAAATAATCGAAAAAAACAGAAACATATATATCACAGAAAATTATTGAGGTGAAGAAAACTGGGCAAAAATTAAGTTTAATATGTTAGCCTAGTCCAAGGAAGTTCTTGACGAAAACAAATAAAAAATAAAAATAAATTGTTCCCAAAGCGAAGAACCTCATGGTTTTGTAAAAAGTGAAGAAAAAATGTAAAGAAAAGAAAAAAGCTTACCTGAATACATGACAACTAAAACACAAGAGGCATACCATAATTACAAGACAATTACAAACGAAACATATGCACATAAAAAAAATAAAAAAAAAGGACTGGGAATGCTTTTCGAAAGAAATGGAACATAATTTTTACAGTCTACAAAAGCAAATACGGCGCTTCCTAAGAGGTTAAAGAACTGAAGTAAAGGAACTAGTAGAACAAAAACACAGAAAGGAATACGTGGATTGACTAACTACAAAAGATCTATACAGAGGAATAACAAACGACGCTAGAACCGTAAACACCAGATATTACCTCAAATGAAGAATATAAATGTATATAAAGTTCGTAAAATACTTGAAAACCTAAAATAGAAAATCAATAGGTAAAGATAAAATACCAAATGAACTATTGAAATATTGTGGAACAGCAATGACAGAACAATTAACAACATTGGCACAATAAAATACCGGAAGAATGGAGAACGAGCGAGTCCTTGGGATTTTATTTAAATGGTTTTTTCACAACTACAAATAGTAATAGCTAATAAATTTCTTGTGTCCACGTACTAATTTGTTAATTGTAATTTTAAAACAGAATTTTGAAATATTCCAAGTTCACACAGTAGTAAAACTTTCTTTCCCAATACACGTAATAATGGTGAATCTAAGAAAAATCCTCGAAATGCTCAAACCCTATACACGAAACGGTTTCCTAAAAGAAGAAGACCGTCTTGTAACTTTTGCTATGGTTGAGAAGATGATGCATCAAGGTTGACTTTCAAACGGTAAACATACAAACCAAACAAACCTTGGTGAATGATTTAGCCTATGTAACCATAATTCACATGTTGATAGGGTCCATGGCTGCAGAAATGGAGTATCGTCAACTACAGTTCACGAAATTTTAAAAAACATAATGACCATGAATGTAAACTGTGTTTGCTTCATGAATTACGACCTACTAATAATTTGAATCGAAGACCAACCTTCATCGTTATAATGCAAGTGATGATGCAAGAGGCTCGTGACTTGCGAATTAGAAATTTGTGGAATGATGAAGTTTGTTTGCATTATAATGGAATTGTGAATCGCCCTAACCTGACCTTATTGATCAGTAAAAAATCCGAACTGGATAAGCGAAACTCGATTTCAAGCTAGATATGGAATTATTGTTGGATGTAGGTTATATAATGGACGTATAATAGATCGATATGTTTTTCAAGAATATTTAAATTGTCTAAGAGATATCTAGTCACATTTCCAAACAGATGGTTTGTAACTAACGGACCCATCCAAAAGCCTCGCCTGTGCTATCACCGTTAGATTTTTTTGATAGAGCTGTTTAAAAGAAATCGTTTTTAGCAAAGAACCTACAGATATAGACTGTTGAAGAACTAAAATTAGACAAACGGGCACCCTGATTACGTCAGAAAATATACACGCTGCATGTACATGTGAACTGCTCAGACGATTTGACCTTGTGTTGAAGCAAATAGAGGTCGTTTTAAACACCTTAAAATCCCTGAGAATAACTAAGTGGTGCCCAACGTGGGGCAGAAAATTTGGCTCCCCAAAGTTTGGTACATATTTATATAATTATATCACTTATATATTATAAGTAGTATAATCGGTACAATACATCGATCTATTTTGTTCGCATCTTTTCTGAGTCGCTAAACATTTATGTGGAAAGAATTGCTTCAGTAGTTCGAACTGACTTGGTGTATTGTTCTTAAACAATTAACTGCATTTGGGTTATTAGTTACTGGACAGAAAGTTTTTAAATTGAAGTAATTCGTTAGTTTATTCGGATAATTATGTTTCGATTTTTAGTTACTGGGCAGATCAGTTGCTAAAAAGAACAAACAAAGTATTTTGGATATTTAATTCGGACCTTTAAAAAAGTTTCTAAAGAACTTTAGAAAAATTGCAGGCAAGTTTAAACTACATACTCTAAAATATGTTAAACTCTTACCGGCGTTTCATGGCAGCATATAAATGAAAATTAAATATTTTTTAATGAAATTAATAGAAATTTATTTTATTTATTTATTATAGTTTTTTAAAGTATACTTTAAATTTTAAAAATGCTTCACCTTTCCATGAGAGTAATATAAAGTTGTAACCTATTATACTGAGTAATTAAAAAGTTATATCCCATATTACATGAAAATCTTATAAAATTTAACTCATTGTATAATTAAAACGTGTCTAAAAACAATAATCTATTGTAACCATAGTTCTTTAATAATAGTCAAAAATCATAAAAATATTTAGTTTTGATAATTTTAATTAAATCGAATACCCCCTCTGTGGCTCAGTGGTAAGAGCGCCTACCTTTAAACCTAAAGGTCGTGAGTTCGAATCTCACCTGGGTGGAAATTTTCGTTTATTAAAAATTAATAAATGAAAATAATTTCTATCCTTGTGCGACCGGTACTCACCGGAGGGACCGCAGACGTTCGGATACAATTAGCGTCTCTTACTTGATACTTGCTAAGTATCAAGACAATTACTCTACACACACAAACACATACTACACTAGGTACCTGACTGTACCATGCCAATGATCATAGTTGTCGAGGCAATAACTCAATAATAATAATAATAATTAAATCGAATACAGGGTATGTCAAAATGCAAGTACGTTATTTTCTGGGAAATTTTAAATATTACCCTGTATTTTATATTACTATGAAAAAGTACTATTAGGATATTTCAATTTTTATAAAGCCAAGTATTAGTTCTTTAAAAAATTTATTTTTTTTAATACAGTATTAATTAGGTAGGTATTTAAACGTTTGCCAATAATTATTGTGATTGAAATATAATTGATTTATTATATGTTAGATTAGTAATAAAATGCCGATACAAAGAGAGAATAAGATGTTTAAAATGGCATTCCAAAACCTTTATACATTATTAAAAGCGGTCATTTAAATAGTTACTTGTATTACGAAGAATTATTTATTGAAGAACATTTCGAAATTCAATTCCGATTTCATCTTTTATATACCTTTATCGTTCTAGATTCGATGCTTCGTTCTTAATATGACTCCCACGAAATGAGTTCATTTTAATAAAATCTGTTGACCTGAGTGATCATCTTACAGATAAATCCCTGTCGATCTATCGTTCGCAGTCAATAACTGTAACAAAATGTCTCTGTATCTCAAATAGTTCACTTACCTCAAGTATTGTCAGCATTTTCTTCAAATGGAATGGCGACGATTTGAAGATATGTCCCATTTTCACGTTTTCTAAATCGATAACAATAATTTCGTCATACAATAGATCCTCCTGGAATCGCACCTCCATATTGCTGCAACCATAAGCTAAGAACTTATAAAAATCGAAGTTGTCGGAGCTGGTGTCCATTAGTTTGCAGACTGTAACTCTTGAACCTTCTTCAGTTCTTTTGGGCAAAGGAAAGAAATATCTAAAAAATAAGAAAAGCTTTTGTTTAAGCAATTCTCTATACTTATATATTTCTAATAATATTTGTAATGCTTCTTTACAATATCGCCACTTCAATATCTAATGAGAAAAGCTAAACTATTCTGTATAATATATGTCTTGTGTTGAATATGTCTCTGTGTTTTAAGATAAATCGCTTTTTAGTTTTAAAGTAGTCAGATATAACATTAAAAACTGAGATGAATTGGATATAATGAAATGTAACACTAATGCGATTGAGAAAAAAATTGGTTTTTTGCACTTAAATTCTATTATAATATACGCCTTGTATTTCTGGCAGGAACTGTAAAATATTCCAGCACGATTAGCCGTCTACTCGTTATCAATATATTTCCCAGTTCTAACCTATCAATCAACAGGTTACACATTATTTTTTCCTTGCGAATTCTTCTTACATAATATTCGTAATATATTGTTAGACTTCTTGAGAATAACTGTATTCAACACCAACTTATTTACAATAATTTAACAGAATGACAATTAAAAACTTCAAAATCTCAATTAAAACTATTCAAAATATCATCATGTTTATATACATTTTCTCACAGAATTTTCGATGGCATCTTGGATATTCTAGAATTTTAATGCTTCTTCTTTTTCGTCCAGTAACCTCTTGTAGGATAAATCTTATGGAAGTCTTGTAACAATGCTTCCTTCTATATAGTTATTCGCCTCGAATAATTGATGTATCAGGGACCAATTGAAGCCAACAAGATAGATCAGTTGCACAGTATTTAGATAATCTCTCGATTTACACTACCTTGGGTTTACTTCTAGATGAAAACTGAATGCGGAATATTAGATCGTTTATTTTCTGCAGGACGGTGTATGGACCTTCTTAGTTTCGTTAAGGTTGCGGACAGTTCTTTCTTACGTGTGGGATCGTATAACCACACTGGGTCATCTTTTTGGTGATCCAGTCACGAAAGAGCCTGACTTTGGAAATATCGCTTTAGAGGTTAAAACTTTTATGAGAAAATTCGTAGACTGTCCAATTTTTCTTTTAAATTTTCGATATACGCTAGAGAAGAACGTTTTTCTGGATGAGGCAACCTTTCAAAAATAAGATCTTAAGGAAGCTTTATTGCTCTGTCAATAATCAGTATCAATGAAGAATAACCAGTTGCTTCACGGTCGGAACTTCTATAGGCTAACACGAATATGGAAATTAAAGCATCCCAATCTTTTTTTCATTACCAACAAACATTGAAAGATATTGACAAACAGTTCTATTATGTATTTTGACCATTCTGTGATATATGACATATTATGTGTTTTTAATACTAAAAAATTTTCATTAATTTTCGCCATAATTCTGATTCAAAATTTCGTCCTTGATCAGACAGACCCTAAATAAACTTTATATCTTGATACAACGTGTGTTATGAATGCTTCTGCTTCTGTAGTTGCTTCTTGATTAAGAAGGGGTGCAATTTTGAAAAATAATTTATTAAGGCAAATTAGTACTTATTTACTCCATCTGTCATTGGAAGTCGATCAAGAATATCCCCTGCAAGTCGTTCAAAAGGCTCTTCGGAAAGATACTGTAATATTTTATGACTTTTTCATCTAGGGTTTTTCTACCGTTACATAAATTGCATTTTTTGTACCAATCTTCTACATCTTGAAGGCAGTTGATTCAGTAAAATCTGCCTCGAACTCTGGCCAGTGTTTTATTGACTCCAAAATATTATCCAGAAACTCTGCTATGAAGTTAATGCAACACACTTTTAGTGTTTGATTTTTGTAGTACCACTTGTTAAACTATACATACTTCATCGGGACTTTTCTACTTCCGACATAAAAGACAATTATTAAAAAAGTACAAAGATTCCTATTGAGCTCACTACGCCTTTATAATTCTACTTTATGTGGTTTATACTTTACCTTGCCAAACAGGTCTTACTCCATTTTTAAGCACTTTTGGAAAAACTTTTTAACTCATTTTCTTTTATTGGCTCTTTTTAAGGTTTTGTAGAGAAGTCTACTCATTATCTTCTTCCTGTATACCTGTGGTTACCTGAAGACTTACTTCTTCGGTTATCTTCTCTTTATCTTTAAGTCTTTTACAGTACTTGTATTGCAATTTCAAACAGTACAACATTTCTCTTATAAAGGAAAGTATTACTAAATTCTAGTCGATTCTAATTATAAAATTTCTATTATAAAGGAAAGTACGAAAATATTTTTTTGATTTTTTCTCTCTTGATTTTTGCGAACTGGATGGAAAAATATTGCTAATTTTACAAAACACTTTGTGTAATAAAGGAACTATATTTAAAAAAATACTTACAATTGATCAGCAATTTTCTTCATTTGTGGCTTGTTAATATTAGAATGGTCATATACTTCCGGCATCATGTGACGGATAGTGTAATACATATCCACCTTTTCTTTAGTTTGTTCTATGCTAAGCTTATTTCCTAATAAAAAGTTTTTGATCAAACCATCACCTGGAAAAGAGGAAATAAATGTTAAATTCATATCTTCGGTTTTTATAGCATCTTAAAATCTTAACCTTAAAACGTTAAGTTCTTTACACACTATTAGCTGAAGTAATAAAAACTTCAGAGTATAAAGAAACTTATTTTTAACGCAAAGTACCAAGATTATAATGAAGGAATAAAACAGGATTGTGTATTGTCCTTCATACTATCTTGACTCGGAAGAGCTATTTACGAAAGCCTTGGAGAACGTATATTTTTTCTTCATCTTAAAGTACCTTTCGTATCTCATATCTTATGCTATCTGGACACTTCGATTAGATATCAACCATTGTCAGGCACACATAAAAATATGCTACTACTGAATAAAACCTCCAAGAACGATCTTAACGACTTAAATAATTGTATCATAAACGCCTTACAAGAAAGTTACCGAGTGCAGTGCACTGTCCTAAAAGAAAATCATATAGTAAAATATTTCCATATACGAAAACGATGATGGATTAAATACCACGAAAGAGAAGAAATAAGAATGCAGACAGCAACACTCTAAGAGAAATGAATAAAACTGTTGCGAAAGCAATTATGAGAAATTTATGAAAATTTAAAACCGACAATATTAAACGTACTATACTGGAAAATAACAGCCTAAAAGTTCTACGTAGAAAGCTAACGAATGGGAAATGTGAAATTCATAAATAAAGAAATAAGCAAATATCACATAGAGACGAGTTAATACAGGTCGTCGAAGAGTTTTACGAGGAATTATATGGAAGTAGACGAGAAGATCAAACAGGAATACAAACAGCCATTTCAAAGAAGATCAAGAATCAAGGTTCCGAACTAATCCCAGTGATAAAGGTAGATGAGATTCGACAAGCGTTAAGAAAAATGAAAAATAACAAAGCCCCAGGAGAGGATGAAATTGTAGTAAAAGCTCTCGTAAATGGAGGAGATATCCTATTAAATAAATTAAGGAAACTGTTTAATCTATATATGCAGTAAAGAGAGGTGTCTAAGAATGGAACAATGCTATAACACGCCTTTTCCATGAAAAAGGAGTTTTTTTGTGGTTCAACATTTTCCTGTTGAACCACATATACAAGCTCTTCACTAGGTTAGTGATATCAAGATCGGAGGGAAAATTGGATTTCTACCAACCGGGAGAGCAGGCAGGACTCCGATTAAATTATGGTACCAGTAATCATCTTCTTATAATAACGACACCCATTGAAAAATCTATAGAATAAAACAAACCGCTTGTCACCACTTTCATAGATTTGCCTAAAGCGTACGAAACGATCGAAATAGACATAATTATAAAAGAATTGAATTAAAGCAGGATTGACCGTAGGTGTAGTGAACTTATTTCTAATATTTACAGAAATGCCACTATGATTGTTAAGATACACGCGACCAATAAAAATAAAACGTAGGATAAGGCAAAGAGGTACATTGTCACCGAAAATTAATCATAACGGCATTAAAGTATGCCTTTAATATGGTCAATTGGGATTGCAAAGGAGTAACGATGGACAGCGAAAGGCTTAACCATCTCCGTTTCGCAGATGATGTTGCCCTTATCACAGATAATTTAGGGTAAGCTACATCGCATGTTGAATGAATTGGCTTTGTTCAAAGGTGAGTCTTAAAATGAACTTGACCAGTTTACAACAAATATGGTCCCCAATAACCATTTAAGTATTCAAGACAAAGTAGTGGAACTAGTGGAGGAATATACGTATTTGGATTTCAAAATAAGAATCAGCAGGGATAACCAAACATGCGAAATCCATAGATGAAAAAATTTATCGTGGGCAGCCTTTCGAAAACTGCTAGACACACTTAAGGCCAACATACTAATTCACAAAGCCTCACAAGAAAATTATTTTACCAATGCGTATTACCAATCAAGACGAGTATTACTGATGTTGAAACTAAAATGGAAGTGGGCAGGCCATGTAGCGAGAATGCATGACTACGATGGACGAGCAAAATTTCAAAATGGAGGCCTAGAGCAGACAAACGTAGAGGAAGATCACCTGCACGTTGGGCTTACGACATCAGACGTATCACCAAAAATTAGCAACAAAGAGCACAAAATCGTAAAGAATAGAGAAATTTAAGGGAGACCTATGTCCAGCATTGGACGTTATAAATAAAGGCTGGATGATGATGATGAAAGTATCTTTATTACCAAAAGTTATTATTAGTAACCGCCAAACAACTTTTGCTTACAAAAACCACTTATTATTTTATAAAATACTCTTTTTTAAAAACGACTTCCGGAGTGGAAATCCAAACGTCAAATTAAAATTACAAAATGCAATTTTCATTACAGTCAATACTGTGGCTTAATCTCATATAAACATTAGGTTTAACAATTAATTTACTTTAACAAAAAATACTACAAATACTACAATACAAATATTGGCAGAATACTTACTTCCTAATTCTGGTAAGTGATGTTGCGTCTTCATCCAGTCTTTGATAGTTTGGATATCACCTTCCAGTTGTTTCAGAGTTTTTCCATACCTCTTCAATGCCCTGCCCAATGCTTCGTCTTGGTTCCAAGTAAGCCATTTTTTTGTATCCATGGACACTGTAACAAAAAAATGTTTAAAATGAAGAATTTTTTATTTAAAATGAATAAAAATTGTAATTAAATATAAAAAATGACAAACTTTAAAGGAAAAGAAAAGACTGTAGTATATTGGGCATGTTATTTCTTAAACCGTTGACGACAACAAAGGTAGGTTCTGGTACTGTCGCTTATAAAATATGTTTGACAAGGAAAGGTACGAGGAACTACTATAGAACAGTATCTCTAAAGAAGAAAGTGCGATAAGATGAAGAAAATATGAAAAACTTTAACCATAGTGAGTTTGTACTACTTCAAAAACCTAAAGACCTTATAGTCCTCGTTGTCAGACCGCTCCCGTAGAAAAAATTATTTTGATTTGGTTTCCTTGCGGATTCTGGTTCAAAAATGTTAAAATCAACTTTTTTGTCCCAAGAAATATTTTTTAGGTTTTTTGTAATTTAAAACAAAAAATATTCCTTGTCATTTTTGACGCACATAATTAACAATAAAAAAAAACAAAGTTTTAAATAAAATCCCTTAAATACCATTACAACAGTATTTGTCTTGTGATATTCAATCTCGAACATTTCAGATATTGTATGCCTTTATGTCCTCAAAAACAGGGTTTTCCCCTTTTTTTTTCTTCTAGTTTTCAGTAGATAATTTGTTTGGAAAGTATTTAAGGACATTCTTTGTATGTGGCAAACCAGACTAACTGTTTGTCATTTTTTTTTATCGAATATTGTGTATCTTAATTCCATCATCTCTTTGATTCTTAGATTTGTCACTCCCTCCTTTTTTGACTTACTTTCATCCCACTAATAGGGCTTTTTATTTTTTAAGGTTTTCTAGCTATTTTGTGACTTCCTGTATAGATAACTGTATACTTTCTTTATTATAGTGGTAGTGTGCTTCCAAGTAGAGAAGAAGAAAAAAGAAAGACATGAAAAAACAAATAAACATGAAAAATATCACACTTAGAAAAGGGTGTTCAACTTACTGTAGGAGCACGTGTATTTTATATGACTTTAGAGGAATAAAAATTAATATTGCAAAAAGAAAGATAGTAGATGAAGCACAAAACTTAGTATATGGACACCGTACCTAGAAAATACAGAAAAAGTTCCCAAATAAGATAGCATAATGATCTTAACACCCTGCACGAATAAACTGAATAAGGAAAATGCAGAGAGAAACAAGTAGCTGGTATTGACGGATTTATGTGTCAAATTTTGGATGCACCAAAGCTTATGGACGATAATATTTGATTAGCACAGAGAAAATAAATACCTTAAAAATAATATTGTATTGGATACTCGAATCTACCTAGAACATCAGTTTAAAACGGTATCCGTCTGGAGATTTTATATCTCCAGCTATCTCGATCATTCCAGGCATTTTATGCCCGTATCTGTCAAACCTTCTTCGGGGTTTTCCCGGTTTTTTCCTTATAGTTTTCAGTAGATAATTTATTCGAAAAATCTTGCATTGGGCATTTTTTGTATATGGTCAAACCAAACTAACTGTTTGTCATTTTTTTTATGGATTATTGTGTATTTCATCTTTATCATCTATTTTATTCTTACATTTGTCACTCTCTCTTCATCCCACTAATTGGGCTTGCTATTTTTTTTTCTAGTTGTTTTGTGACTTCCTGTGTAGATATATACATTTTTTAATAGTGATAGTGTGCTTCCACGTAGGGAAGAAGAAAAAAAGAAAGCAGAGAAAACAAACATGGAAAATATCACCCTTGGAAAAGGGTATTCAAGTTAATATAGAAACAAAAATTAACATTAGAGGATTAAAAATGAAAGAAAAACCAGGCAAGTAAATTATTGCAATTCGAAATAGACAATACTGAATGCAATAGAGTGAAAATTGTAACAAATATTTATTTTGGAGTACATTATAGTGATAGCAACATATAGGAAATTAGTTAATCTTACCGTGACTTAATCTTGTATGCATGTAGCAAGTATGATCGTACCTAACATTATACACTCACACACTGATATACTATGTTATATTAGCAACAAATGCGATGATTTAACAATACTAATTATCTTACTAAAATTTATCGTTCTGTTATAATCTGTTTCCTTGAAATTCACTTTAAAGGCGAATAAGCAATAAATAACATTCACAATTAGATATAAAAAGATTCATGAGCGTTTTTGGTATCGTTTATTAAAATAATTAGGAGGAACATGAATTAAGTTGAGATATTTTTTGTTCCAAGAATAAGAAAGCCATCTCAAAAATAATAACAAATTATATTTATGTCCTCTATAAATATGTATCGCGAATGTTGCGATTGCAACGAAAAGAGATTAACAGATTATCTCGGAAAAATTAAAAAAAACCAAGGACGACTGTGACAATTACTGCTCTATCTAAATTAGTTATCAAAAAAGTTGATAATGAATAATATAGATCTTATTTTTTGTGACAACTTAACCAATATAACAAAGTTGCAGACTTGCTCTATGTTAGTTTAGTTATTTGAACCATGAACCATATTTCTGTAAAAAAATATGAAGTCAAGAATTTATAAAGCCAGTGCAAGACAAATAATGACATATGCCTCAGAAAAAAAAGACCCGATAGAGCCACGAAAGGCTAATAAAATAGCCAATAAGTCACCAATCGGCAAAAGAAGATGGACGACCGCGCAAAAGATAGAATGACATCCTTCCATAGAGATATTAATTTGCCAATGAACAAGCAGAATTGCTTATAAAGAGGAAGAAGAAGAAAAGTAAGGGTACTAATAATAATTATTTCTTATATTATTTAAAAAAAAAACTTAACCTATTTGGCGTAAACTGTCGATCACATCTTTTCAGTGCCTTATCATTTTCAAACACGTGCAAAACAGATAGGGAAATTTGTACTTGTATTCATGCCAATTGTATTTTTGATCTGTCTATTAAGTAAATCACTTCTTCTTCTGGTGCCATATTAGGTCTCCCTAAAGTTGGTAATTCTAGGGTACAAAGGCTTCGATGGGCTGGTCATGTGGTACGGATGGATGCCGACAGATTGCCGAGAAAGGCCTTGGATGGTAAAATGCAGGGCAGAAGACCAAAGGGAAGACCACGTAATAGATGGGAGAACGAAGTCACAGCAGATGCGCACAACTTACTGAACGTCAGGGCTTGGAGACGAGTGGCGCGGGATCGCCTTTGTTGGAGGCAGAAGTTACAGGAGGCCAAGGCTCAATTTGGGCTGTAGCGCCATTGGAAGAAGAAGAACGTTGGTAATTACATTTGCAAGTCGTTTACAATCTTCAGCTAATCGGATTAGTTGTTCGGAACTGCGTATTGTTCTCGAAACACGTCATTTGCTTCCTTCCAAATCCCCTGCAGCCATCGATTTTACCTTCCATGATAAGCTAATAGATTCTGTACCAGACTCCTCTAAAAATATGCCCTAGGTATGAACTTTTTCTTCCTAGTATTTGTTTATTCAACTACATCTCAAACGGCTCGCGATAATTGATCATATCAGTCTTAAGAGTCCAGATCTTGGTACATTTGAAGACTCGCTTGAAGACTAGCGAAGAACAATTAGCCTAATGAGCCACTTACTTAAAACGTTCTTGAAAGTTATACACGGCAGAATATATAAACAATGCGAAGAACAAGTATCATGGACACAGTTTGGATTCCGCGATTCCTTAGCCACTCGAGAGGCTCTATTCGATGTCCAAGTACTTATGCACAAATGCAGGGATATTAACTGTGATGTGTTTATTTGTTTTATCGACTACAAAAAGGCATTTGATAGAGTAAAGCATAATAAACTAATAAACATGTTGAAAGAAGTGGGATTAGATGATAGGGACTTGCGAATCATCTATAATTTATATTACAACCAAACAGCCAACGCAGTAGTTTTTGCAGATAGTCTGGACGGTTTGCAAAGAATAATGACGCGTATATCAGAAGTAAGTAGAGAACACGGACTTGATCTTAATACGAAGAAAACAAAGTACATGGTAGTCAGTAAGCGCGAAATATTAAATACACAGCTTTTGGTTAACCAACATTCAATTGACAGAGTGGACAGCTACACATACCTTGGTACCAACATTAACAGCCAATGGGATCACTTCAGTGAAATAAAACAACGCATAGGAAAAGCGAGATCAGCGTTCATAATAATGAAGTTTCTTCTCGGAAGTTACGATTTACCACTTGCCACCAAAATTTCTCTCATTAGATGCTACGTATTTTCTACGTTATTATACGGAGTAGAGGCCTGGACACTTTCCGAAGCTTCTTTAAGAAAACTCGAGGCATTCGAGATGTGGTGTTACAGACGTATTTTAAAAATTTCATGGGTGGATCGTGTGACTAATGTTGAGGTCCTACGTAGACTAGACAAGGAATGCGAGATTATTAACACCATCAAAGAGCGCAAACTAGAATATCTTGGCCATGTTATGAGGAATGAACAGAGATACGGCTTGTTGCAACTCATTCTTCAGGGCAAGGTATTTGGAAAGAGAGGATCAGGGAGAAGAATATGTTGGCTTCAAAACCTGAGAAAGTGGTTTAATACATCGACAAGCGGACTATTCAGAATAGAAGCAAGCAAAGTTAGGATAGCCATGTTGATCGCCAACATCCGAAACGGATAGGCACCGTAAGAAGAAGAAGAAGTCAAGGTATTTCGTCGCCTAAAAACATTTTAGCCTTAATATTTTAGCCGTAATGAGGGCCATAATGGGTTTTAGTGATAATTACCTATCTAATAGAAGATGGAACATAAAAAATATATCTCAATATTTAAGACAATAGATTGTGTTAAGAATATGTGTCTGGTTCGAGAAAGATTGGATAATCCTCTCCAAATAACAAAATTGTCAAAAGCTAAAATTGTATATCTGAATAAAGACTTTTCTAATGTGTACGACAATGATATTTCTATGAAAATAAAGGAAAAGCAGGTATTTCCATAAATTTATAGTTTGCCAAAAATTGAAACTAGCCAGAAATATTACCATATATAAAAAATATATTTCACAAATTAAAAAAAAATATTTTTAAAAAACGCAGATGTTATAGAAAAATTTGGTCTATATATATATATATATATATATATATATATATATATATATATATATATATATATATATATATATATATATATATATTATATATATATATATATATATATATATATATATATATATATATATATATATATATATATATATGTATATATTACAATATGCAATAAAAGGACTACAAATTTAATGATTTTTAAAATTTATAAAACTATAATTGTTGGTTGCTTACCAGTTGATGGAAGGCAGATTGCCGATTTTAGCAAGAAATCCATTCTGAAGCGTTGACTTATTTAGATAATGAACCAAAGACTCGGGCAGTATAAGTAGGATCACTACCAAAATGCGAATACCACCAAAGACTGGATGATTAGGCCAAAAGCTTTTGTGTATTTATAGACCTATATACTGCTAATCACCTTATAATGGCGTATTGATTTGTTGCATATTGTAAGCGATATGTTTTTGATTAGGTTTCATTTAAAAACGATTAGGAAGTGTTACTGTAATAGTTTTATCAGGATTGGCCCTGGATTAAAAATACGAGAGTAAACATATTACAAGAATAAAGAGGTTTTAATACACGCTCAATCTACCTGAACTTTTTATAGCTTCATGATGGTTATCGATTGTTGGATATCATATTGACTATTACATTAGCCATCGTGACTTTATTAATGGCAGTTCTAAATATTGATGCAGTTTATTTTTCGTACAATTATCTAAGATTTTTCAGTCCCAATATTATTCTTCTATTAGAACCACGTTTACCTTTGTTCCATCGCTAAATGATCAGATGTAAAAGTTTTTTTATTTTTTAGGTTGCCTCGTAATGTGGCGAATTATTTCAGTTGGCGTCTCTTTATTATATTAACTAGTTATGTCGTTTGGTTCAGCAGTCTGAGGACCTCCTTATTTTTAACTCTATTGACGTAACTTATATTTAGGAGATGTCTGTATGCCACATTTCAAAAGTTTTCAAGAGTTTAAGCATTGCCTCACTTAGAGTCCACACTTCTACTCTATATGTTAGCATCGGCCCTTGAATACGAAGGTCAATACTTAGAACATGGCTGCAAACTACGTTTCTCATTTTCTATTCGGCTTTCAATTTCTACGGTTGCTCTTAATGATATTACTGAAAAGATACATGTGTTTCTCTAATCTGTCCAGGATTTATTCCATAATTGCTGGCAAATTATTTAGATTCTTCAACAATGAAAGACCATGAATTTCTGATTTTTTGTAAATCTACTAGAAGTCCTGATATATGTTTAATCGCAATATTCATAGTTATCTCACTGCACTAAAGTATATGCAGCATGCATATATATAGCTTTGATGAGTCATGCTCTAAAACTGTTCTTAAAAATAATCCATAATAGGATCTATAGGAAATTAGACGTAGACATCAGTAACACTCAGATGGGATTCAGAAAAGGGCTGGGTACAAGGGAGGCTCTGTTTGCAATGAACGTTCTCTCACAGAGATGCTTAGACATGAACCAAGAAATTTACGCCTGCTTTATTGATTTCGAAAAGGCCTTTGACAAAGTACAACATGAACCACTAAGACAAGTTCTAATAGAGAAAAATATAGACAGCCGAGATACTCGAATTATATGCAATCTATATTGGAATCAAACAGCAAATGTCAAAGTTGAGGGCAGACTAACAGAAGAAATTCAAATCCGTCGAGGAGTCCGGCAGGGATGTATCTTAACGCCACTTTTATTTAATCTGTATAGTGAAGCTATCTGTGAACAAGCACTCGAGGAAGAAGATCTTGGTCTGATAATAAATGGTAAGACGATCAACAATATAAGGTATGCTGACGATACAGTTCTCCTAACGGGAACGCTAGTAGAACTACAACATCTCGTTCAAAGTCTCAATATATACTGTAACAGTTACGGCTTGAAAATTAATTTGAAAAAAACTAAATTTATGGTAATCACGAAATCAAAGAACATCAGAGCTAATCTTGTAATAGACAATACAACGATTGAGCGTGTGCCCTGTTATAAATATCTAAGTGCTTGGATCACAGACGATACTGATCAAACAAAAGAGATTAGATGTAGAATAGAAATCGCTAGATCAGTCTTTCATAGAATGCGCAAACTCTTTTACAATCGTGATATCAATATAAAGTTACGAATACGAATGCTGCGGTGTTATGTCTTTTCTACCCTGTTATATGGAGTTGAGGCTTGGACACTAAAACAGTTGACCATAAAAAACATCGAAGCTTTCGAGATGTGGTGCTATAGGCGCATTCTCAGAATATCATGGATGGACCGCGTCACTAACACGCAAGTACTCCAAACTTTAGACAAAAGATGCGAAATTCTAAATGAGATAAAAACTAGAAAGATGGAATACTTGGGGCACATTGTGAGAGGTGAAAAGTACGAACTTTTAAGAAACATCATGCAGGGCAAAATTAAGGGCAAAAGAAGTGTGGGAAGAAGAAAAATATCGTGGCTTTGTAATCTACTTGAATGGTTCGGGTGTAGTTCGATTGAACTTTTCAGGCGCGCTGCTAACAAAGTCGCAGTGGCCATGATGATTTCCAATCTCCGCTAGGAGTGGCACGAGAAGAAGAAGAAGAAGACTAAAGTATATGACTTCTGCGATTTATTGCTATTAAAATTCTAAACCAAATAGATAACATAAGTATACATTTAAATTTGATAATTTATTTTTTAATGGTTTAAATTGGTTTTTGATTCAGCTGTTTTATTTAAATTTGGAACTTCTTATACAGCTTTATTAATTTCTGATAGTGTAGTGTTAGTAGTATAATGTGGCTGCTGCTAAATATATTGTAAATATTGTTTACGAATCCGAAAAAAGTTGTTACTTCAGGACAAGATTCTGCTGCATGCACTACACATAAATGGCTGCGACAGATGGCACTCCATAGATGGTGTTATCTTCCGTTCTAACAACTGTTTAGATTAGTATAGAAAAACTACCAACTCCGGTAGATACTTACATACCCTTTAACTCATATCATCCCATAAAACAGAAAATTAACACCGTTCTAGCAATGAAAAATAGAATATTAAAAATCTCACATCCTACTTTTACTGAAAAGAATTTAAAACTGTTATTTGATACATTAATTATTATTATTTGACACATTAATGCAATTATTATCCCAAAAATTTGCTTAATAAACTTTTGTATTCACACACAGAACGCAGTGCAAGTGGCGATATATCTGTTCATGATCGGTCGACATCTGATGGCGTCGTGAAGTATGGATGATTATGGAAAACCATACTCAATGACCACAAAAATTAAATGTAAGGTCAGATATAGTAGTTAATTATTCAATTGGGTCATTTTTTGTCGAAAGAAATTTAACGTCAGATAGTTGGTGTAAGTGTTCGGCGATATTTAGATGAGATATTTCCTGGACGATAAATTGGTAGACAAGGTAGAATTGAATGGCCTCCACATTCACCCGATTTCAATCCTAAAGATTATTTTTATTAGGGATACTTGAAAAATTCAGTTTACAACACTTAACCAGCAAGTCTTGCAAAGCTAAGGCAACGAATTATCAATGAATCTCGAATAATTTCTAGACAATCATGGAGAAATGTGGTAGACGCTTTCTACCATCGATTAGGGTGCTGTCAACTCATTTGACAGGAGCACATTTTGAACACTTAATAACGTAACTACTATGTTAAAAAATGTTCTAAACTATCAATTGTTACGTTTTAATGTATTTAAAGATAGTTAGTATTAAAAAATTTATTGAAACAATTTAGGCGTTGCCAGACTTTGGTTTTATGTATTTATGACCTTCCAGATTACATAAAATCATGAATGTTACATATGGTTGAACTCGTATTGAATAGGAGATTCCAATAATGACTGAATATACAGGGTGATGTATTTGAAAAACCAAAGTTACTAATAATATAAGAAAAACGGCAAATCTGGCAATATTGTAAATATCAAATATGGAATTTCCGTATCCCAAAATAGATGTACCTCAAATTTTGTACAATTATGATTAGCATTTTACGAGATAATTAGCCGTTTCCCGACTTTTGGGCCACTTTGTATATATATTGATAAAGTTGTGTTTTATTAATTTTATTTTTTATTTATAATGAATGTAATTTTTAAAATATGTGGTTCGTTGTTTAATTTATTATATACCTCAGCTAGCTCAATTATGTATTCTAAGCAATCTGTCACTGTGTGACGTCGACTCTGTAGTCTCCTGGTAGAGTTCAAAAAGAAATTAAACCAAACTTTACTTTAGACTTTTGATAAATTAACCCAAATGAAGCACGTTATTTACTAATATTGAACAAATTTAATATAAACAATAAAATTCGTCTGCAACTTCGGTTGCCTTTAAAAATTTACAAAAATAGGAATCGTTTAAGTCTTAACGTGGTTTAGTGACGTGACAATAAAATGTATTACAAAATGTGGAGACTCTCTACAAGTACCTAAAAACTAAATAAATATTGCAACTTTATAAAGTGTTTAAATGAACTATAAAGAAAAAGAAAATGAACACTTTATTCCGCTGACTATTCAAATATAATCAAAATTTCAAATGATCCCCAAAATTATTGTCCAACCTCACATTAAAACAGTTCTGATTTCTTTAAAGGAAACTAACTACTCAAAAATAATCGGTGAAACTGGAATATCAATCCTCTCTTCGGAAGTTAAGGTACGTACTATTCTATTTTTAATTTAATGATCATTAATAATTTCAATTTTTAAGGCCTATCGCAATTATGTTAATTCATGAATTTTAATTTTCTCAATTTAAATGACTCCAATACTCCAATTTTATTTATTTCTATATATTTTATTTATTTCTATACTCCAATATAATTTATAAGTGAAATTGTTTCTCTTACTCTCTGGAGCAAATTTCTGGATATCTTTGCTGTGGAAACTGTGGAAAAACTAAATTCTAATTAGACGAGTTAAAAAACACTCCCGACCTATTCCACAGTTTCAGGGCTCCTTCGTCCAAAAAAACCTCGTCGGCGTCCTCTCCAAAAACCAATTCCTATCATTATCCGTTGCTAACAGCAACCAACGTTTTTTTTTTTTTTCTGTCTTCTATTTAAATATTTTAAACCATAAAACTGTCCTGTTTGACATATTTGTCAAGCCACATTACTTTCTCATAATCACTTTAATCACATATAATTTGGAAATTTACAAAAAAAAATGTTTAGATATAAAACTTATTTTATTACAATACTAATTTATTCTTTTTATCTCCACATCATTGTAATTTCTTATTTAACAAAACCCCTATTAATTTAGCTCCCACAGACTGTCAAATAAACTG